GGGACGATATAGACGAACTTCAGGATAAGTTGTAGGGATTTTGTTCGACGGCTACAGTGACGCCGACTTGGACATTTGGAGGGTTTTGAGTTTGACGAAGATGGCAAAGAAACGTACAAATAAAGATCTGAGATATGTTTTCAAACAGCTATGAATTTTTATAATTTTTACTGTGTAAATTTGTAAATTAATATTGATCTTGCATGACGGTTGATTCGTAATTTGTCGAGACCGGAAATCATTTTACGCAGTTTAACCCCTGACATTTTCATTCATTTTGAGTTCATGCGTATTGGGCGTGTTTGTCGGCGGGAAAATCCTAATTCAAATGATTTCTCGCTGTTGATTTTTATTATTTCTGATTTATGTCACATTATAAGCAATACATTATTTTTGTTTTACTTCTAGTGTTGCACAGTGTTCATTTATTTCTGTTGCATGTTTTCATTTGCCGTTCTATCCCCTGCCGCAGTTCGATCTGCCTGTTGTCAAGTTTCGCGAATTTTCGATTTTTTTGCCGGGGATCTCCTGGCAAACGCCCACCCCTTCTTTTTGGCAATTTTCCATGTTCAAGACCCTGGGCTTATACCCGGATAAATACGGTATATGTAACAGAGCAAGATTACCGTATATTTATTATTAAGTACTGCAAAATCTGCATTAGAAGTCATTGCTTCTATTAAAAAGTTACAATGCAACAGAAGGGATGGGGCTTGTATTAGAGCATCTAGACAACATGAGAAATGTTGAATTTTTGGTTCTCAATTGTTGGAAAAAAAAGGTGCAGCTTCTATTAGGCTCATACCAGGGTAATAAGTATTTACCCTAGTATTATAATCAATATAATCAAATGAAATTAAACAATACCGCAATTATACTGTATGTATACAAGATATACCTGGTACACATGTTCATGGTAAAATATACAACATTGTTTAGTAACAGTTACAAATTATGATAAAAAGCTGAACATTATTATTGTCCATGAAGACAATCCAATGAACAAAAAGAAAAAATGAAAGCTGTAAACAGCATAACAGGGGATAACGTCTTTCTTGGTACTTATATGCTACAAGCCAAATTTCAGATAAATATGGTTAGTGGTTCTGAAGTAGGTAGCTCCCCAAAAAAAAATGATTGAAGAAGAAGAAAATCTAGATAACAAAAATAACTTCAAAATTGTTATTGAAGTTGTACTACATGTACAACTTCAATAACAATTTTGAAGTTACTTTTGTGAAAACTGAAATGAAAACTG